ATAAAAATATAAAATTTTTAAGTAATATAATAATTTTTAAAAATGTTTACAGCATTCAAAAATTGCTAAAAATCCAGGTATAAACTCAAGGCAGCAGATACTCAACAACCTAATTTACTGTGTGTCTATTTTACTGCGGGGTTTGTTTAGAAATACGTATACCAAGAACAATAGCAATCATTCGCATATTTTCAAAAGTGACCAACGCGTTTACTCTTTGAGAATCGCACTTTTGAGGTTTGCGCGCACTTGTTGCGAGAAGACTAAACAACTGAGATGTATGAGTGGTTAATAGATATATATACATATACAGATCTATATATGTATATAACTACATGCAAACATACATTTTACGCACATACATGCATAGAAGACAGTAGGACTTTGAACTCTTAACAAGTATTGTTTTTTCTGACAAACAAGAAAAAAAAAATTTATACGTACATACGTATAAGTATGTAGTGAAGCTGAATAGACGTTAAACATGTATTTGTATTCATAGCATGAATATCGTGATGGACGCACACTCGTTTAAACTTGTGAACATACATACATACTTGGAAAAGATATTTGCTATATTTGTTTTTTTGCCCTTACTTCGTTTTGGAGGTGTGTATTTTGAAAATTATGGCACATGATATGCTTATCTAAAATGAAATCTAAATTAAATATTATTATTATTTATTAATGAAGCTATGCTGAACTTTGAAACTACATAAATTGCAAATATGCGTGTGATGACAAATTTGCTAAAGGCCATAGAAGGGTTAGCTTTTAGTATACTGCTATATGTTTGTATATATAATTTAGCATTTCATATACTCATATTAAATATGCATGTTTGACTCTGTCAAAGAGTTAGTAAACTCCAGTGCACATTCTAGAGACCACGTTTTCGTATCTACGCATCAGTCTAACTGCTCTGGTCATTGTCGCGCCGCTTACTCATACATATGTATGTACGTATTCGTAATCTTAAAAGTCTCTAAACTTCACCTAGAACATTGATTACAAACATTATTATTTTATTCTTATCGGTTAAAAAGTGCGCGATTGCTGCAAACAAATTGTGACTCAAGCTGATTATTGTTAACAAATTCGAACACACATGGAGTTTTACGAAAACAAAGGAAAGCATTAACATATTATTCACCGGTTAGTGTATACAATGATACTACAGCAAATAAATACATATATAATAAAGGAACTTAATATAGTAAAATTTTAGTTGTTTCTCTTTAAGATGCTATAAGTTAATAATTGCCAGAATATATCAAATTTTCTACGGAATGGTATAAAATATTTTTTTGACTGTAGCGCCGTTATGTATGCTATGATAATTCGCGTGTTAGTTTCTTTTTCTAATATCACATTTCTTAGATATATTTATTTCGCATTATTCACAACTCATAAAATACTTTTTTTCTGTTAACGGCTCTGAAACCCCTTTAGGAACTTGAAAAATGTCTTTTAAATCGTAATGAGTTATAATATTTTCTTTAAATTTTCAAAAGGTTAAAATCGGTTATCGCATAGAGATATGTTATGAAAACACTTTACAAAGGCGAGCATGAATATAAACACGTATTTTGCACTGCAAATAGTTACATTTTAATCATTTTATTTTTGGTTTTTGTCGAATTAATTATTAGCCTAAATTATAAAAAGCAATATTTTTAATAAATGAAAACGTTAACTAAATCAGTTTATTACATATAAAAAAAGCACAAATCATTGTCAAGTTATTCTTTCAATACAAAAATAAGTCTGCTTTAATTCCTAAGAGACGTGCGCGAAATTATAAAATATTTTTATATCAATGTCACATGAATCATTTTTCGCCTACGCACTGGCGTTTTCATTTGTACCAGCATCATCTGTACTGGGTTGTGTCGTTTCATTGCGCAAACCACGTATACTGATATCATACACAACCTCTTCGATTTTCTTTACGTCGTATTTTAAGGCATCGAAACGCTTGCGCAAACCATCATTTTTTAGATTGAGTAAACGAAAGCCAGAATTTAAATTCGCCATGAAATGTGAAATATTCAAAGGGCGATCATAATCGCCCATAGTCACTGAATTGGTGGCAAAGCGAGATAGTTCCGAAGCCATTTGTAGAATTCCCATTAAATAGTCCTCTATATCCAGGTGAAAACCTTCAGTGTGACTAACTTGCACTGTGGTAATTCAAAAATGTATTAAAGATAAAATTGTCAATAGATAGCTCAGCATGTATACTTACAGCCCAACATTTCAGCTACGGTCTCGCGTTTTACCAGAAAACCGGCTTCTAAATATACAACCATTGCAATTAAAAACACTAGACGCTGGGTTATGTATGTCCAGTGATCAGAGTACCTTTCATTTTTATATAAGATTTTGTTATTAAAGAATATGTTGTATAAATAACTATAATTTTGTATTTGCCAATTTTGCTACCTGTAATACTGTCCATCGGGAATGATCTCTGACAATTGTTTGTAGACACCGGCACATGACGCTATTTGTTTGCGCGCTGCTTGGCATGCATCTTCAACTATAAAAAATATGTTCGTGAAGATATCTCTCAAATAAGCATATATGTACACATACTCTTTGATAAATCTGAATGAATGATTTGAAGTTGTATTGTAGCTTCTTTGGCCAATTGTTCGATTTCTCGAACTTTTATTCTGATATTCTGCAAAAAAGGGGAAACTTAGTTTGCAAATATCAATGAGAATTTGTTTTCCTTACTTCTCGTATTTCCTGTTCATTGTCGATATATTTCTGATAGTTGGAAAACACTTCTAAATTAACAAAATTTGCCATATTTACAAACAGTTTTTACGCACACGAACAAATTTACCACACGATTTGATGTGGTTTATAAGTTTTGATTCAAATAGAATAAATAGTGATGAACCAAAAATCGTA